CGGGAGGCTGAGGCAGGAGAATTGCTTGAACCTGGGAGTCAGAGGTTGCAGTGAGCTGAGATTGTGCCACTACACTCCAGCCTGGGCGACAGAGCAAGACTCCATTAAAAAAAAAAATAAAAATAAATAAAAATAAAAATCATAAACCCTCAGATCCAAGAACCTCAATGAATATAATGAACAGCAAAATAAACTATACCAAAGAATATCATATCTACACTTTTGAAAACCAATGATTAAGAGAAGACCTTAAAACAGTCAGACAGGCCGGGTGCAGTGGTTCATGCCTGTAATCCCAGCACTTTGGGAGGCTGAGGTAGGTGGATTGCTTGAGCTCACGAGTTTGAGACCAGCCTCGGTAACATGGCGAAATCCCATCTCTACAAAAAATACAAAAATTAGCTGGGCATGGTGGTGTGCACCTGTAGTCCTAGCTACTTGGGAGGCTGAGGTGGGAGGATGGCTTGAGCCCAGGAGATGAAGATTGAAGTGAGTCGAAATTGTGCCACTGCATTCCAGCCTGGGTGACAGAGCCAGACCCCGTCTCAAAATAAATAAATAAATAAATAAGAGCGAGAAAAGAATGAGAATTATTACAGAGCTCTTTTCAGAAGTTATGCAAGACAAGAGACCACAGAATGACATCTTTGAAGTTTTAAAAGATAAATTTAAAAAACGGTCAACCTAGACTTCTTTATCTAGAGAAAACATCCTTCAACAATGAAGGTGATACATTACCTACAAAAATTAACTTAAAATGAATCAATAACTTAAATGTAAGAGCTAAAGCCACAAAATCCTTAGAAAAGAACACAGAGGTAAATCTCCAATCTCCATGAACTTGGATTTGGCAGTGGATTCTTAGATATGACACCAAAGACGCAAGCAGCAAAAGAAAAACATAGATAAACTGGACTTCATCAAAGTAAAAACTTTTGTGTCTCAAAGGACACCATCAGGAGAGTGAAAAGGCAACCTACAGAGTGGGAGAAAATATTTGTAAATCATATCTCATAAGAGTCTAATATATACAATTTTTATTTTTAAAAAACTTTCGGCGTGGTGGCTGACACCTATAATCCCAGCACTTTGGGAGGCCAAGGCAGGTGGATCACCTGAGGTCAGGAGTTCAAGAGCAGCCTGGCCAATACAGTGAAACCCTGCCTCTACAAAAGTACAAAAATTAGCCAGGCATGATGGCAGGTGCCTGTAATCCCAGACACTCGGGAGGCTGAGGCGGAAGAATCACTTGAATCTAGGAGGCGGAGGTTGCAGTGAGCTGAGATCGTGCCATTGCACTCCAGCCTGGGCAAGAGAGTGAGACTCTGTCTTAAAAATAAATAAATAAGTAAATAAAACTTTAACAGTTCAACAATAAAAAGACCATCCAATTTTAAAGTAGAAAGGATCTGAATAGATATTTCCTCAAAGATATACAAATGACCGATAAGCACGTGAAAACATGTCCGACATCATTTGTCATTAGGGAAATGCAAATCAAAATCACAATGAGATACTAATTCACACACCGACTAGGATGGCTACAATAAAAAAGACAGTTCATAAAAAATCTTGGTGAAGGTGTAGAGAAGTCAGAACCCTCATACATTGTAGGTGCCTACTTTATTCACGGAAAGGGCCTGGACAACGGTAAGAACTCACTGGGGTACACTGAATGAATGAACTACCGAATTAATAATTGAATGCATAAACTAATGGAGTCCTCCCAATGTCCGATTCATCAGCAAGGCTTATGGACTCTACTTTTAAATTTTATTCCAAACCGAGTTGTTTCTCATGACCTACACTCCACAGCCACCACCCCAGTTCAGCTCCCACTAGCACCTGCATCAGACTCCTAACTTGTCTCCCAGCCTCTCCTCTTGTCCTTATCAGTCTATTCTCCATGCAGCAGCCTAAACAAACTTTGAAAAATTAACTACGTTATTGTCAACATCACAGTTTTCATGTTGGATGGTGGGTACCTACATTAATATGCATACAAACATACATACACTAAAAAATAAAAGAGGGCAACCAATGTTAACAGGATGTCATGAAAAAAGAAGTATTATTATTAATCCAATTCCTCGCATCAGTTGTCCAATAAAAATGTAAGTAGGCCGGGCGCAGTGGCTCATGCCTGTAATCCCAGCACTTTCGGTGGCTGAGGCAGGTGGATCACGAGGTCAGGAGATTGAGACCAGCCTAGCCAACATGGTGAAACCCTGTCTGTACTGAAAATACAAAAATTAGCTGGGCATGGTGGCACGTGCCTGTAATCCCAGCTACTCGGGAGGCTGAAGCAGGAGAATTGCTTGAACCACGGAGTTGGACGTTGCAGTAAGCTGAGATCACACCACTGCACTCCAGCCTGGTGACAGAGGGAGACTCCGTCTCAAAAAAAAAAAAGTAAGTAAAACTTTTTAGATGTAATAAAATACCATTTACAATGCCGGTAAAACCACTACAACAATATCTAAAAATTAACACAGTAAAGTGTACAGAACTTTCGTGAGTAAAATTTCAATGTTATGGCCAGACCCAGTGGCTCACACCTGTAATCTCCACACTTTGAGAGCCCGAGGCAGGCCAGATCACCTGAGGTCAGGAGTTCGAGACCAGCCTGGCCAACATGGCAAAACCCCATCTCTACTAAAAATACAAAACTTAGCCAGGCGTGGTGGCAGGTGCCTGTAATCCCAGCTACTCTACTCAGGAAGCTGAAGCAGGAGAATCACTTAAAACCAGGAGGTGGAGGTTGCAGTGAGCCGAGATTGTGCCACTGCACTCCAGCGTGGGCAAAAAGAGTGAGACTCTACCTCAAAAAAAAAACAAATATATCCAATGCTGTTATTAATTATTTTAAAGGCTTTGAGAGCAGAGAGGCATTTCAGGCTATGGACACAATGACTTACCATTGTGAATGCGACAGTTCTCTAACACAATGATCTGCAAGTTCTATGAACTTCTACTGAAAACTTGAGGGTCTTGTTCTTTAAGGAATTCCAAAAATTTGCTCTAAAATTTTAAGGAAGAATAAAGATTCACAAATGGCTAATTCAATTTTGGCAAAGAAAGTGAAAGAGGGAGATACATCTTACAAAATAAAATGACATAGCACAAAGACAGATTTAAGAAAACAAAACACTGTGTTCATGTTGTTGGAACGGAGAGATGAACCAATGACATAGAATGAAGAATGAAATTAATAACCTAGTCCCATGTGTAAATGGGAACTTAGTAAGTCAATAGGGAAAGGACAGACTGTTTAGGAGATACTGTTAGGAAAGCTGACCCATAATAGGGAGGAAAAATCAAGCTCATAAAAAATAGATTCCAGGTGGATCCAAGAACCAAAATCTGAATGGGAAAAACTATAAAAGTAATAGAAGAAAATATACAAGACTATATTTTTTATCCAGAGAGACAGAATACTTTCAGATCTGGAAGGCGCAAAATTTCAGAGGAAAAAATTCTGAGGAGTTAGCTGTACCAAAATTTAGGATGTCTTCCAACCAAAGTTCATCATAGATAGAGTTGCCATAAAAAAACCAGAGAGTTCTCAGAGAAAAGTATATGCGATGTCTAAATCCAGCAAGGCATTAATATCTAGAAATACAAGCAACTCCTGTAAATCAGGAAGGAAAAGAAAGGAAACCCAATTGAAAAATGGACAACAGGTGTGAACAGGAAATTTGAAGAAGGGGAACTCCAAATGGCTAACAGATATATGAATTGATGCTCAAACTCACTGTAATCAGAGAAATGCAGGTTAAAACATCTGTAGTATATCACTTTGCAACCATCAGATTGGCAAAAGTTAGAAAAACAAATAACACCAAGTGTTGGTGAGAGAATGGGAAAATGTGAACATTCCTATTCTCCTGGTACAGGTGAAACCTGAAGCAGCCATTCAGAAAAAGAATTACCAGGCAACATTTAGTGAAACTAAATGTGTATATGTTCTATGACCGAGCAATCCTCCTCCAAGAATGTATCCCAGAAAAATCCTGAGTCAAGTCCAATGGGCACAAGCATGAGGATGTTCAACACAGTGTTTTGGTGATAACGGGAATTTTGAAGCAAGCTGAGGATCCACAGTAAGGAATGGATAACAGATCAGTGTGCATGATGACATTTTAAACTACAACTTTTGCATGCAGCCCCCTGGATATATCCTACAAACATATCGTCAAGTGAAAAAAAAAAAAAAAAAACCCATCATTAATTCTAAATCACAACATTTATGTAAATTTAAAACACAATGGGCAACCGCTCCATCTTGAAAGACATTGAGGTATCCAAGGACTTGTGTGAAACAGGTTGGAATGGATGCAAGTGGTGGGAGGAAAAAGGCAGCTAAGATGGGATGGGGAAGGAAACTTGAATAAATGGAGGGTTTTTAATGGGCTGATGCTCATGGTGCATCTTAAATTAAGGAGTGTAGTCAATTCTACTCTTTGCCCCAGGCCTAATTTTTTTTTTTTTAAGAGACAGGGTCTTGCTCTATCTTCCAGGCTGGGGTGCAGTGGTGGGACCATGGCTCACTACAACCTCAATGTGCCAAGCTCAAGTGATCCTCACACCTCAGCCTTTCAGGTAGCTGACACAGGTGTGTGCCACCATGCCCGGCTAATTAAAAAAAAAAAAAAATTGTAGAGATGGGATCTTGCTATGTTGCCCAGGCTGATCTCAAACTCCTGGCCTCAAGCAAGTCTCCCAAAGTGCTGGGGTTACAGGCAGGCACCACCACACCCAGCCCCAAGGTCTTTTTTTTTTAGTTAACTCAGAGGGTTTGACAATTACAGGAGGAAAAAAATGATATCAAATGCTTCTATCAAATATTTTTTCTACGTCTATTGATAATAATGATTTTTCTATAACAGATGTAGAAAAAGCATTTGATAAAAGTCAATACATCTCCATGATTTAAAAAATAATTCAAATCAAGATAGAGGAGGATTTTTGAAACTGATAACGGACATCTATAACAGCTTTGTAGGCATAAAGGCAACCCTGGAGGTAGATCTGGGCTGAGTGAGTCACAGGTGGGAGGGAAGGTTACGCCTCCCGGCCACGGTCTGTTGCATAAAGAATCTGGAGGGTAGAGCTCTGAAGCTGGAAATTCGAGGGGCTCCCAGGGGTTCCCCCATGGTCCCAGCAACACAGAATTTCACATTGGTGCATCTTCCTCTTGTAGGGATGAACCAGACTTTGAATAGCAGTGGGACTGCGGAGTTGGCCCTGAACCATTCCAGAGGGAGCGTGGTGCACACGGCCTGCCTGGTGCTGAGCTCCCTGGCCATGTTCACCTGCCTGTGCGGGATGGCAGGCAACAGCATGGTGATCTGGCTGCTGGGATTTCGAATGCGCAGGACTCCCTTCTCCATCTATATCCTCAACCTGGCGGCAGCTGACCTCCTCTTCCTCTCCAGCATGGCTGCCATGCTCAGCCTGGAAACCCAGCCCCTGGTCAGTACCACTGACAAGGTCCACGAGCTGATGAAGAGACTGAAGTACTTTGCCTACACAGTGGGCCTGAGCCTGCTGACGGCCATCAGCACCCAGCGCTGTCTCTCCGTCCTCTTCCCTATCTGGTTCAAGTGTCACCAGCCCAGGCACCTGTCAGCCCGGGTGTGCGCCCTGCTCTGGATGCTGTGTCTCCTGACAAATGGGTTGACCTCTTGCTTCTGCAGCAGGTTCTTGAAATTCAATAAAGACCGGTGCTTCCGGGTGGACATGGTCCAGGCTGCCCTCATCATGGGGGTCTTAACCCCAGTGATGACTCTGTCCAGCCTGACCCTCTTTGTCCGGGTGCGGAGAAGCTCCCAGCAGTGGCGGCGGCAGCCCACTCGGCTGTTCGTGGTGGTCCTGGCCTCTGTCCTGGTGTTCCTCATCTGTTCCCTGCCCCTGGGCTTCTACTGGTTCGTGCTGTACTGGTTGAACCTGCCGCCTGACACGAAGGTCCTGTACTTCAACTTGTCACGCCTCTCCTCGTCCATGAGCAGCAGCGCTAACCCCCTCATCTACTTCCTGGTGGGCAGCCGGAGAAGTCGCAGGCTGCACGGGTCACTGGGGACTGTGCTCCAACGGGCGCTTCGTGAGGAGCCCGAGCTGGAAGGTGGGGAGACGCCCACCACGGGCACCAATGAGATGGGGGCTTGAGAGCCACCTACAGGTGCTTCCCATCTGTGCGAGCCTGTGTCCTGGAGATTCCCGAGCCGTGAGCTGCCTCCCGCCTCATCCCTGCCAAGTGCCTGGCCAGCCTTCTTGGGGGAGCCCCAAGGACTTTGCAACTGCGTGTGGGGGTCACCTCCCTGCATGTCAAAGCTCCCCACACCACCTGTGTCCTGAATCTCACAATGCAAACCTGCCGGAAGGTGCGATTTATTTGGTTGTAGCAGATCATCTAGTTGGGGGAAAATATTAGCTTTTAGCCCTACCCTGCTTTAAGCTGGTTATCTATGGGTGGATAACAGGCATCTCATTTGAATATGAAAGTTTTCTCCCAACCACCTTCACTGCCTAAGACAGCATCTTTGTGCAGGGGTGGGTGACCCAGGGGATCTTTGGCCCTATGCTGGTCCTTGGGTGGCACCAACTGGCCACCAAGGCGGTGCCCCCATGCACCTTTCCCCACGTGTGCCTGCAGTCTGCAAGTAAACGGTGTTGCCATCGCTGACCCAGATCTCGCTGGCTGTGGGCCATGAGACTCTGCCCCATTGTCCCTCTGACCCCTGGCCAGCCCTTGACCCCTGGCATTTGCTGTTAAGTTGCCTTACCCTGTCACCCCTTGCACCCAGGGCAGGCCTGTTCGCTTTCCTCCAGGCTACACTGGGAAGGGAAGAGCCTCTGCCTGGGTTCACTGGCAGTCACTCCAGCAGACGCTGATGGGACAGTGCCCCAGGCAGTGGAGGCCAGCCTGCCAGGCAGTGTCCCCCAGAGCCAGAGTCTCGTACCTGACTGACCGTCCCTCCCAGGGCCCCCTCACTTTGCCCAAAGGCCCAAAGAGGGAACATCTGGGACACACATCAGCCAGCTCCACTCTCCTCCCTCCCCTTTTCCTTCCCACAGTCCCCCGGGTCCAGAACAAGGCCGATGTTCCCTGCACTTTCCACACATCACAGCCCTTTCCTACCACCCAGCGTCCAGCCTCGAGGCTCAGGGCTTGCAGGGAGGGGCTGCAAGACAGGAGGTCCCTGCAGAGTCAGTCCCGGACTTAAAGAGGTGAGGGAGGAGGAAAGACAGGAAGTGGAAAGATCCTGTCTCCAGACCACAGCCCGGCCTGCAAGCCTGGCCCCCGGCTGCCTCATCCTGTTGTTCAGGTCAGAAGGTAAAAATGATCTTGTTCTTTCTCTTGGCATCTTTCTGAAGCAAATCTGAGTCTCCTCCCAAAAGATGGAACCTTTGAACTGGCCAGGGCACAGGTCAGATCCTGAGACAGGAGAGGACGGCTCATCCGTAAGCTATAAAATACACCCTGGAATCAACTCTCACAGCCTACGGTTCTGTGCCGTGGCAGGCGATGCTGTCCTGGGGACTCGAAGACTGTACACCTGGCCAGGACTCCCCTTCCTGGGGTCTCCCTGGGTGTTCACTACCCTGGGCTGGGGGCTGTGCAGCCCTCGTAGGAGAAATTACCTCTGAGTGCTTTCGTTTCCTGGGCCACGTGCTTTCCCACCTAGGGCTCAGGCCCCCGGGTCTGCATGTCCCGGAGAGGTATGAAAGGCAGAGTGGTGGTTCTTTATCAGTCATTCCAGCATTTAGCAGAGCGCTTGGTGCCAGCACTGGCCTCGCATGCCACACGCACTTAATAAGTGCTCATTTAGCCAGTAAGAGTCACTGATGCCTGTACAGTGCTTTACAGCCCATGTTTTCTCCAGGATCCAACCCACATCTTTTTTTTTTTTTGAGACGGAGTCTTGCTCTGTCGCCCAGGCTGGAGCGCAGTGGCGCGATCTCGGTTCACTGCAAGCTCCGCCTCCCGGGTTCACGCCATTCTCCTGCCTCAGCCTCCCATGTAGCTGGGACTACAGGCGCCCGCCACCACGCCCGGCTAATTTTTTTTGTATTTTCAGTAGAGACGGGGTTTCACCGTGTTCGCCAGGATGGTCTCGATCTCCTGACCTCGTGATCCATCCGCCTCGGCCTCCCAAAGTGCTGGGATTACAGGCGTGAGCCACCGCGACAACCCACATCTTCTGACTACAAACCCCATGCTTCACGACCCTTCTCCAACCTGGGCAGCCACAAGGTGGCCAGTCTAAAGCCGACGGTTGGTAGGCGGACCATCTCGCTTCTTAGCAGTTGGTGGCTACCACAGGGCCCCTCATTTGCAAGGGGAGGAGCCCTAGAAATTGTTCACATGATGATGTTATGTTTCGATAAAACTTATAAAATGATCTACTCATGAGACCTTCTACTCTGGTACCTCCATCACACTCCACTTTAGGTCAGATGGCACTGGTATGCCCACAGGTATTTGGGGGGTGGGGTTGAGTGGAAGAGGAGTTAGGGGGTCCGTGCAGTTTGGGCTTAGTGAGGTGTATTTATGTGGTTTCCGATCACCTCCGTGTGTGGTTAGGCAATTGCTAGCGCTCCAGGGTAGGAACGGCTCCCAGGAACGTTCTCACTGCCTGCTGTCCCAGCTCCCTGGGTATCGTGGAAAGAGCTGCCTGAAAAAATGAACAGATGAAGGAAGTATGTGGAGGAGTGGGTAACAGAAGAAATAAGATTTGAAATGTACAGAATCAGAAGCTAGCTTATAGAAGAATCCTCCGATCCCCAGATGTACAATTCTAAGTGGGGGGTTCTGTTCTCACCGGTGCCTGCTCAGAGCAGGTCTCCCCTGTTAGCAAGATCCTTGCTAATACAGCGTGTGTAATCAGAACACATACCACATTTATCAATTTTGTTTCAGAGTCAAACCCTGAACTGAATTCCTTCTCAAAGTTACTTAGGCCTGTGCCCAGGAATGAACAAGGATAGCTTAAAGGTTCGAAGCAAGACAGAGTTGGTTAGGTAGGGACGGCTCCCAGGAACCACCTCCTCTGCCTGTTTTTGTAGCCTGGACGCTGATTGATTCGGGTAAAGCAGCTCACGATGCCCCTCTGCAGTTTGCTAGATCAGACGGCCATGGAACTCACAGCTTCATGGGTCTGTTATTCATTCCACAAACACTTCTGAGCACTCACCAGGAGCCAGGCATTCTTTGTAAGAGGCTGCACATCCATCCACGGAAAAGGAGATATTCGGAAATTCCCGGAAGACACAGGACACATCCTGACCCCAACCAGCCAAACCGTGAAGAACCACCCAGGGGCTTCTTGTGCCTGAAGGACGTCGTCCTCCCTGATCTGAGGCGGCGGTCCCAGCCTTCCTAGAAGAGCTGCTGCCCTCTCCAGGGAGCTGCATTACAGGAAACAAGATTCCCTCCGCCCCACCCTCACAGTCATCCTTACCTTGGATCAGATCCCAGCCTGACCCAGGGTGGCTGGAGAGGAACGCAGAAATTTCATACTCTGTTGTTCAACATCTGGGTGATTTCTGTGGGAATGACATTTTGGGAGCGCTTAACAGGGGAGGGCGTCCGTTACTGAAGATTGAATGGAATGCATCATATGTGTGCACGTACAGAGCCCCTGCGTCCCACGGCCAGGCCCACAGGGTTGGATGTGGCCTAAGAATCTGGTTAGCACAGATCTGAAACTCACCCAGGCCAGGGAAGTCAGATGACGGAAAGCCCACCGCATAGAATGTAGAGAGAAGAACTTAAATACACCAGAAAAAAACAGGTGAATGTCCCACGGCAGGCACTCTCCCCCTCACCACATCCACAGAGGACCCAGAGGACGCTGTCCCCCAGCGACTAGGGACATACATGGCAAAGGATGCGCCAGGATGTTCTCAGATGCTCTGGCCATGGCAAGAGGGATATTTTGGAAATGCATGCACTAGAGAAAGGACGTGTACAGATGGCCCTGTTGTCTGCGGTGGGTCCAACGTCCAATCCCCTTTCTAAAGCAACCAGAACACCCTTGGTAGGAATGGCCACCCTGTCTTGATGAGCGGGTACATCCAGTACCTTGTGCCCTGGAAGCGTAAGGAACCCCTTGCCGAAAAGCCTCATCATCTCATCCAACCAGGGGATGGGCGTGGCCTGCACTGGGTGAAAGGGTGTATCCCAAAATGCCGCGCTTACCAGAATCTCAGAATGTGGCCTGATTCGGAAATAGGGTCTTTGCAGATGTACTTAGACAGGATGAGGTCGTATGGAGTAGTGAAGGCCCCAATCCAACATGACAGGTGTCCTTATCAGAAAGCCAGGCGAACAGACAGAGATGGAAAGGAGAACACTGCCTGATGAAGGAGGCAGAGGCTGGACAGAAGCAGCTACAAGGCAAGGAACACCAGGGTTGCTGGAGCCGCCAGAAGCTGGGAGAGGGGCAAAGAGTGGATCCTCCCCTCAAGCATCCAGAGGAAGCCAGCCTGACCCTACTTTCATCTCAGACTTCTGGCCTCCAGCACTGTGAGAGAATGAATTCCAGTTGCGTTAAGCCACCAAGTTTCTGGTATTTGTTATGGCAGCCACGGGGAACCAATACATGGCCTGGGGCTGCCCACTGACACCTACACTCCGAGAGAACTGAAGTCTGACACAAGTAACCCAAGGAGAGAAGGCGCCTTGGCCACGTCTGGCCCTTGAGTAGCTCCTGTACTTCTCCAGCCTGTTCTCTAGGCACCAGTCAATTCAGCAGCTCCTTCACAGGCTTCCAATGAATGTCTATCTTTCTTTTTATTTTTTCCTTAAGTCAGACAGGGCTGATTATAGCTGTCTCAACCAAGGAACCCAGATACACATTATTGTCATTTGGGTAACTGCATAAGTGGAGATGTTTTGGGCAGCAAGCGAATGAAACTGAGGTCAAACTGGATCAAAGGGAAAGGAATGTATTTGCTTTAGTAACTAAAAGCTCCAGAATATCATGGCTTCAGGCATGGGCCGATCCAGGTGATCTAACAGTGTCATCAGGAACCTATTTCTCTCTCTCCATCAGTTCTGCTCTCCACTGTGACCTTTTTCTCAGGCAGGCACTCCCCTTAGTTGGCATAATGGGTTCCCACTGTGCAGACTTCCTTCTGTCCCACCAGCTCCGTGGCTCCAGAAGGAGGAGAGTTCCTTTTCCACAGTATTTCCCAGAAAACTCCTGTGACTGACTCTTGTTGGATACATTGCAATTAAGGCTTCTTGGCCTAGAAACTGATGTACTTTTCCCAAAATGAATTATGGAGCCGATGGGGTG